TTTAATATACTGCCTTATAAATTATTTATTTGAAACAAATAAATATTTAATTATCTCTTTTAAAGAGATTTTTTTTTATATCAAATAAATATTTTTTCACATTAAATCAATATTATATTAGTTTCAAAAAATGATTGATGAGGCAGTATTGAAATCAATATTTATTTGAATTCAATAAATTCTTTTTGTCAATGTAGAAAAAATACATCATTAACTTTTCAACAATGTGCGTTTTTTTATGTAACTCAATAGAAAGTAGTTAAAAGCATATATACTGAAGATTAAGGAACACATTTTTAATATACTATAATATTATATAATATTTTAAAAGGACTTCAAACTTTCTCTTAAACATCTATTATTAACAAAATCAAAGTTCGCATCATCACTTTCTCTTATATTGTCAGAGGATCGTTTTGTTAAAGCAAACTAAAGACAAAGCTTTGGATGAAATTATCTTATTCAAGTCAAAAAAAATATTTTAAAATACAGTCTCTGCTTCCCATATATTTTACTTGATAAAAGCTATACAACACAAAATATTATAAATGTTTTCAAAAAATATTTCTAATTATTTCTACAAAATATTGCATAAAAACATTTTAAAATAGTTTTAGGAATATTTGAATGATTTAAAAATTTTTTATGATAACATTTTTTAGAATATTTTCAGATATTTTCTTAAATATTTGATACATATTTTTGAAACATTAGTTTAAACTATATTCAAAAATATTTTAAAAATATTTTCGAGAATTATTTTATTTTCAAAAGATTTAAAAAATATTTTCGAAAATTATTTTATTTTTAAAAGATTAAAAAAATATTTTAAAAGATTTAAAAAATATTTTCGAAAATTATTTTATTTTTAAAAAATTTAAAAAATATTTTCAAGATATATATTTTAAGAAGTATTTGTAAAAGATTAAAAAAATATTTTAAAAAAAGATTTAAAAAATATTTGATGCTGTTAGGATTGACGGATGAAGATTAACCCTCGCTTTTCCGGAAGTGCAATTCGTCTGACATTTCCGACGACGCCTTACCCTTTAACGGTGGTTACTCTGTAGACGGCGTCGAAGTCGTCGCGAATCGAGCGGACGTCCTCGTCCATCCTGTCAAGCAGCTCGTAGAAGTGCAGCGTCCTCGCGTTCGAGAAGTCCGGTTCCGCGTCTCGCGTCAGCTCCATTTTCAGGCGGGCCACGTACCCTCGTTTCGAAAAAGAATACGGAAATCGACTTCCCTTCGCGAACGAGAGAACTCGCGTCGATGCTTCCCGCGGCCGGCGATCGAGCGACGACGAGCTTTTCGCGTATTTAATGCACGCTCGCGCGAGAGAACTACGCGGAACAAACTTCCATCATGCATGGTGCGAGTTTCTATTGTCTCCGGGATACGTATGCGTCGTGTGAAGGACGGCGCGCTTCTCGTAGGAGAGACACGTTCCTAGGGCGCATGTGAGATTTATGGAAAAGCAAAAGATAAACAGTATACCCCTAGTTCTAGCATGCAGAGTGTATTTCAGATAAATTTAACGATCGAATGTATGAGTTTTCACACCGTCGAAAAATTCAATTTGCATTCAGTTGGAAAAAAATTATTTGTTATAAATTAAATTATTATACTCCTCTTGTAAACATTAATTTTAATCATTGGTTTCCTGACTATATAAGAAAAAGCGGACAGAAATATTTTAAAAATATTTTTGAGAATTATTTTATCTTTTAAGAAATATTTTTAAAGCTTTCAAAAATATTTTGTGCTGTATGGGATATTATAAATTAAATTATTATACTCTTCTTGTAAAAATTAATTTAAATCATTGGTTTTCTGGCTATATAAGATTCATTTTTTCACAAGTTTTCCAAAAGTAACTTGTGCTTAATATTTTCATTGCATAATACTTATTGTAAAAACAGGATATAACATTTTTCAGTTGTGTTAAAAATTTTTAAAATATTCTAACAAAAAATTATGTACCTTTTAGGAATGTGAAAAATTTGGAAGAATTTATGGGAAAGCAAAAAATAAATAGTACATCCTATGTTCTAACATGCAGAATATATATCAGATAAATTGAACGATCGAATGAGTTTACACAGTCGAAAAATTAAATTTAGATTAACGATAAATTGTAATAAATTATTATAATCTTTTTTCCATGAATTCTTGTGAAAATTAATTTAAATTTGATTTTCCTATGCACAGAGAGAATTTTCTCTTAGAATTTATCTTGAAAATCATGGTAATCATTGGACAATATGCGGTATTGAAAGAATTTTATGAGAGTTTCTTTGATTAATTATTATATATCTATAAGTATCTCAATATAAAATATAACAATATTAATATCTGAATAAACATGAAAAATATTAATGTCTAAAAAATATTAATATTTATCACAATAAGATATAAAATATGATCGATTAATTTTACTATATAACGTAGTAAAATTAATCGAACATATTTTATATCTTATTGTGGTAGATATTAATATTTTTTATTGTGTAGTAAATATATTAATCTGAGAAACTCTATATTAATCTGAGAAATGAGTTTTTACGCAGTTAAAAAATTAAATTTACATTAAATTGTAATAAATTATTATAGTCTTTTTTCCGTGAATTCTTGTAAAAATGAATTTAAATTTGGTTTCCCGACTTTAAGATTAATTTTTTTTACAAGTTTTTATAAAAGTGAGTTGTGCTTAATATCTTAAATTATATAATATTGTAAAAACAGCTTCTAAAAGTTTTCAGGAAGTTGTGTTAAAAATGAAATAAAGAAATTCTAACGAAAACTACGTTCTTTCAGAGATGTAAAGAATTAATTTGGAGAGATGCTTTGTTTTTCGCGTCATAGAAAACCTGTCACAGAAAATCACTAGTTTCATTAGTAGCAGCACATCTTTGGCACAGAAAGCAGTTAGTTAGCGCATTTGAAAGGTGTTTTACACGACACTTTCACAAAATGTCGGCTAATATGTACACGTATAATGATGCCATTGTTATGCATATACATGCTTCTCGCGAAGGAGTCGATTTGAATGTTTCACTGTCACTGACATATACGACATATTCGACATAAGCGAATATAATGAATAATAGAGGTGAAACTAATGGATATATTTCAAATCTTTAAAATATCCATACAAAGTATCTATTATAATATTATCATAATTTCGTGATTATAAGTCCTTTTCGCTACTCGTGTGAAACATCTCACGATACTAGAAAAAAAAAAAAATTTATGGCAGACTTGATAAATGTTTAATATAATTATAATTTATATTTATTATTTATAATTATAATTTAATTAATTGAAATTTTTTATAATACAATTTTACGCAAACAAATCATGCAAGGTATAATATAATGCAGAAATATGCGTCTATATTATTATTTAATTGCATTATGAAGAAACTTGGTTTTATTGTTTGAAATTTTCTTCCCAGACCTCTCTCTCAATTTGCAAATATTTGTTTTCATAATTCGAACGATACTTTAGGAGAAAGCCAGTAAATATCGCGATATTTAATGACATGTCATCAAAAATACATAATAATATCTTTTCGCTTTGTCGTGCACAGTAGCGCATTTCGACTTTATTTTCATGGTCCCACATCTATATAGTCCATTGTTGTTCATTGAAAAGTGACGATATGTGCATCCTAATATAGTGGCATTAACGCGGATTCTCTTGATTAGGTATTCCGATGCTATCGCTCTGCATTTGACCTTAATTACCGCGCATCTTCAAGCAATGTCTGGTTCATTGTTGTTCAGGACGCATCTAATTCAATGTTCGTATTATAGGGTGATTAGAATGCATATAGGTACGAAATAGCATATTTGTATGCACAATTTTTATCACAAAATTTTCCGTTAAATCACGTTTGCGTTCTGCAAACTCTACCGCCAGAATGCAAGTTTATAGTCAGGATGTGCAGCCAATTTGCTGTAATCTACTGATCAAATTTACAATTAGTGCCAAACTGCTAATTGTATATAATTACTATCATTTTGCTGGGAGAAATTCTACAAAATTTACTAATGTGATTTTGAATGTATTAAGCTTTTTAAAATCGATTTGTGACTAAATTTTTCGAAAGAGAGCCAACTTATATTAATTCATTAAAATCTTTAGTTTATAGTATACATGTATATATATATATATATATATATATATATATGTATATAATTTATATACAATAAAAGTATAACTAATTGCAATTAAACGCCTTAATTTAACGAACTATATTGCGATATTATTTGAATGCTAGAATACAAATATATAGAATATTAATATATATAAATATATATAATTAATATATAATATATAATATATATATATTTAATATATAAAATATCTATCATACATAATATTTGTATTCTAGCATTCAAATAATACTACAATATAGTTTGTTAAATAAATTTATTAAGTTGTTTAGTTGCTTCTTTTAGTTTGTTATACGTATTGTATAAATTATATATAAATATAAATAAATAAATATCTATATATTGCTATATATGTATATACATATATTGTATAAATTATATTAATATATTGTATATTTATTTAAATGGTAGAATAATTTTTTTTTTAATATAGACACTGTGTGCAAATGCAATAATAATAATTAATATAGAAAAGTTATAAGGAGACTTGTAACTTTTATCGACTGGTGCCACAAACTTTCTCTAAACATTTCATTTCTTCGTCCACCGATTGCGCCACCAAACGCGACTTGTCTCTCCATTGACAGCTTGAAAATACCGCGTGTTTCCATACAAGTCACGTGTCAGACAGAGGGAATTTTCGCACATGCGTAGTCGCGTGACAGTCAGTGACTGACCCTTAGTAGCGTACGAAACTGAAATCGAAATTTTATGGTATGATTAGGGCCTTGAATATAATGAAAGAAAGAAATATAGAAAATTTTTTCCAGAAAATTAATAAAATTTATTAGTTTCTACATATGTAACATTAATTTACGTTTAATATAAATTTAATATATTTCGTATATTATTAATATGTGAGAAAAGATATGTCAAAATTTGTGTGGGCCCAAGAGCGCCCTTCGTTTTATACCGAATACGAGTCTGTCACGTGTGATTGATCAGGTTAGGAAAAGTTTCTCCAGCTAAGAGCGTTGATCCAGGTTTATTGTTGAAGCTCTCGAGTAAATATCTCGAGTACATTTGCATTTTTACGCTGGCTAATTCGAATATTACAGACATGACGGAAGAGGATGCGGCGGATTTACAATTTCCGAAAGGTATGTGTATATTTTCTGATTGTATTGTATACAAACTTGCAGGTATGTATAAAGCTAACCTCGCTTCTCAACCTCTGTGATATTTTTGTCGGCAGTTTGGTAAGAAAGTCTAATTTTCACTATTGAAACTGAATTTTTTGTCGAATTTTTTATTGCAGCCACGTTAAAAGTGAAAATATGTTTAACTACTTTATATTCTGAAGTTTTGTGCACGTCTGAAAGGAGAATACAGAGCAAGCACATTGTAGCAATTTGTATTTATTATAAATGATAATATTGAGTGTGATTTAGATATTTTAATATTTTTATATTAAATAAAAAATTAGGTAGAAAATTAATAAGAACCAGCCGTAGCTAATTTACCTTATAATCTTATTTAACTTTTGATTTTTCCTTTGGATAATTTTCAGCAGATTAATTGATAACAAATTACAGAAAGAATTTATATCCTGCTCTTCATTTTCACTTTACGCCTTCCATAAATCTTCAAGAGATTGAAAATGAAATGAAGAATAAGAAGCGAAATATGTATAATTGCAGTCAGCGATATACAAAACAGTTAATGATCAAGTAATTAAAAACAAGATTAAGAAGCAGGATATATGAATGTTTTCCGTAATTTTTTTGTCAATTGGTTTACTAAAGATAATCCAAAGAAAGAATTAAAATGTTCACATTCAAGAAAGAAGATTTTAGGATAAGTTTGCTTTCTGTGTTTGGTTCTTATTAGCTCATTTCCTATCTAATATTTTGTATTTACAAAAAATAAGTCTCTTTTAAAAAAATGTACATAAATATGCATAGAAAACAGTAAATATATTGTAGAATATGAATAGCCAAAGAGACATAAAGTTTGATTAGTGTTTCACTGATGAAAGAAATATATAGTTAAATCTATGTTATACAACACGTTCTAAATTAATAAAATTTGATTTGTATCTCTGAGAGAGAATTCTAAGAAAAAATATTAATTAATGTAAAATTTAGATTTGAATATCTTATCACATAAAATTTACATCTCCGCAGTTCTAAGCAAGTTTGAATTTTTGTTTTTTGCGCTTGCAAATTAAAAATACCTGCACATCCGAGTGGTGAAGGTTAAGGTAACGAATTTCCTCTTTCAGACTGTTCACTGAGTGCGAGAGACAGGCTTGAGCATGACGTAGAACTCGAGGTGTCAGTTCTGAAGGACGAAATTTTTACTTCAGACCCTACGTGCCACGTGTGCAGGTCGAGCCTTGTGGAGCCATATATTCGTTGTGCCGTATGCAGCAACATCGAGATATGTCTCTCTTGTTTCGCGAAAGGCTGCGAGGTGAACGAGCATAAGAACGATCACGATTATGTGATCATAAAAAACGAATTTCCCCTGATCGACGGTAGCGATTGGACTGCTAAGCAGGAACTCGAGTTGCTGGACGTCGTACAACAATGTGGTTTCGGGAATTGGGTTGATGTAGGACGTAGGATACAGGGAAAGTCCTCTGAGGAATGCAAGACGCATTATCTGCAGCACTACATAGACAGCCAGACTCTACCGGGTCTACCAAGGATCAAGGACACCAGAGCCAGCTTGTTCACTTGCGAACCGATCCCCTATCTGTACAAGTTGCAAGATCTAGAGGAGCCACCCAGATTCGCCCCGGACACGATTAACAGGAAACTGTTGGCCGGTTATAACGCGGCTAGGTCCGACTTCGAGGTGAACTTCGACAATCACGCGGAATCGTTGGTGGCCGATCTCGAGTACGACGAGTTTCAACCGGAGGACGACGAGTACGCGTTAGGACGGGCTTTGCAAACGGCCATAGTGCAGGCGTACAACAACAGATTGAAGGAGCGCTTGAGAAGACACAGAATCGTACGCGACCACGGACTGATCATCTTCCGCAAGACCTTGTCGTGGACGCAGAAATACGAGAGCACGATAACGCGCTCGCTCGCGGAGAGATTGCTGATATTCATGCAACTCGTGGACGGAATGGAGTTTGATTTTCTCATGGAGGGTCTGCATCGCGTCGGCGAGTTGAAGAATCGGATCAGTAGACTTCTGGATTTCCGGGGAAACGGACTCAAGCACTTCTATAGCGTCCCCATGTTTAAGAAATTGAGCAAGTTGAGGCAGGAAAACGAGCGGGAGAGAAAACAGTACATGAGCAATCCAGAGTACAGTTGGAGGAGTCTGTTGCCCGACGGTTTCGCCGCCTGCAGCAGCTCGATTCCCGGAAACATGCAACGCAAGTCCGCGCCTCCTCTGACAGTAAAGGGTTTACCGGGATTCGAGAAGTTGAGCGCCGACGAGACAGAGCTTTGCTCTGTCGCGAGAGTGGTGCCCGAAAGTTACTTGGACTTTAAGCAGCTTCTGATAACTGAAAGCAAGAAAAACGGCAGTCTTAGATTGGCGCAGGCCCGTATTCTTCTGAAAATCGACGTGAACAAAACGCGAAAAATATATGATTTTTTGGTAGAAAATGGATATATCAATAAGCCGCCGGCTCAATGATATTTAATTTTTTTTAGTAAACCGATACAATGCGTAGCGCGCGATATGCAGATACTGTGATATTATGAATTAAGTTAGATATGTCATTGTTTTAAGAAAAATTTTGCATTTTAGAGGAAATAACTTTTCTAGAGTATCAAGTTTTTATACATGTATTTATTAATATTTTTTACTTTCTTTAAAAGCGATTGGAATTGCCGTTATTATTTTAAATATTACAAAAATCAATCAGTAATCTATATTATTTTGCAATCAATTATGATTTACAGTAAATTTATGCAATAGAATTAAGTAAGATACTTTTTTTAAAGCCTTGACTAAAATTTGAGAATATTAGTGATCGTAATAAGTGAATGTCGACAATATAAAAGCTTTATTTTAATATGCTCAATTAGTAAAAATACAATACAATAAGATATTTACTATTTTTATCTTTATATTTTTTAAAATTTTTTACTAAGGAAATGCGATTTTTCTGACAATGTGATTAAATAATTTAATTATTAGAAATATGTTTCTTTTTATATATTTATTCTATGTGATTCATTTTATTAATGAATTAAGATGAATTAAGAAATTATTTTTCTAATAAAGTTTTTGAATTTGCACAAACTTCGCGAAAAAATTGCGAATTCTCACACATCAATTTTGTTATATAATAAAATAATTGTCATTAGTGAAACATTAAGATCACATTTTTTCCCAGAATTCGAAAATGCGGAAACATTATTGATATCGGAAGTTTATATGCTATTAGAACATAGAAAGGCACAAAATGAATCTGCGGAAGAAGAGCAAGAATTTTCCGATGTTTTTATGAAGAGCTTGACATACACTAATAGATTTGGAAAGTTGAAAAATAAGGAGACAATCGCAGCCGTTAGAAGGTAATATATTATACATATAAATTAATGTAGAAAATATAATATTGTGTAAAATATTTCTATCATACATACATATGTAATGAAATATGAATGATGCAATTAACGTAAGATGAATTGTATTATTACAGTTTATTGATGCAGAAGAAGCTGCATAAGTTCGAGATTGCTTCACTAGCTAATTTGTGTCCAGAAACTCCGGAGGAGGCAAAAGCTCTAATTCCTAGTTTGGAGGGACGTCTGGAAGACGAAGAACTCAGAACGATATTGGATGACATACAAACAAAAAGATCTCTACAGTATTAAGAAATAAATTTTATATAATTTTTTGAACAATTTTTACGACTTTTCTCGTATTTTTGTCAAAAATGTAAATGTGAATATCATTCTAGTTATTATAAATATGCGAAATATTTCTTTATAACATAAAGTTTGTTCTAATGAAAAATTGATACGTATATTAATTTATTCATATATTACTGTAGGCATTCTCTCTGGCATAAGGTTTTATTAAATATTATTTTAACCTCGTTTTATCGATATTATAATGAAATTTTATTGCATTAGATTCCTGTGACAGCTCCAATTATTACGACCACTAATTAAACTATAGGTTATCAATTCTTATCGTACCGGTAATATCGATTAGTAAGTCAATGTTCTATCTCTTTTTTCTTTGTGAACTAAGAACTTGAAATAATTTTATTATATCAATGATATGTATGTACCTACATAATTGTACTATAAAAATATCTAAGGATTTATTAATTATTAATTTTCTCATACTAACGTATGTTGGAATATTTCATCGAATTCTCTCATGCGAATAATTTTTGCTGATAATTATTTCGACAGAATAAATTTATTAAATTCTACGCATTAAAAAATTGATCACCATTTATGTCTGGAAGAAAAAAAAAGTGAGAAGCTTACTCGCGCGGTCAGAGAAATCGTATCCAGTTTCCCAATTCCGGCAATTTGCGACAAGATGAGACAACTCGCGAAAGAAGACGACGCTAATCGTGCCGACGACAACCGCGTATTACTAGCAGGATAATTATGGCCTGGCATGAAGCCCTCATCTTGCAGCATTCTTGCGATAACCGGCAGCAAGGTGACCCGCTCTCCCTAGCAAAGCCTTGTTGCTCTCTTTAGTCAAGCAAAGTCAAGCTTGCGATAAGGATCGATGATGTCGTTCTACCTATCATTTACCGCGAATCCCAATAACCACTCTTCACTCTTTGCATTAAAACATGTTGATCTTCGCGAGATCTCTCGGTGGTTTTCTTTTCTACCGACTATTTTCGCGGGAAATATATTATTCCCGCGTTCTTATAAAACATATATAGGATAAAAGAAAATATGCTACTTTATTTTTTTGACAAAAAGATTTACATCATCGACTTCGGTCTTTTTCTCGTGTCGGCACACGTGTCATCTTTGACGTTTGAATTTTCACTAAATATTAAATCGTGCACAACGCGAATTTTTTAATTTCAATATTAAATTAAAAAAAGATGACTATGAAAATCAAATATTTCATCTACAATAGATTTTACGTTTTCTTCGAAGACTTGCTTTATTCGCTGAATTTATAATGTGGCATTATTATTGTAGGATAAATAAAAAATATTGTTAATATATTAATAAAAAATATATGCATGTATATTTTTTTAATTGAAATTTAATAAAACATTTTTAATCGAGAAAGTATTTCTATACGGAAGTTCAAATGTTGCTAATTGTAAGAAATACATTTGCAGTCTAAAAATCTTCGTACAAAGAAATCTATTATTTATAATTGGTCAAGTTATCTATAATTGTTGTGTTGATCAACTGTTCTTGCCGTTGAATATTATCTTATTCTGTATAATTACGTCTGTTAACATAAGCAGAATGAAAAGATACATGAATATAATTTTTGTAGTAATTTTTGTAATTGCTTGAAAATATTTACCATATAAAAAAATTACGGGATTTTTATTCAATAAGATTATATTACATATGTTTTATAAAGCAGTTATTGTTCAAATTATTCAAGCATTTTAGGAGCATATTTGTTATATATAATTGGTACTATAAAATTTTCTCGTTTGCACGAATTTCCCTAATCAAACGCAACGTGCGATATCGCGATAAGCGTTTAAATATCGGTCATGTAATGACACTCGCATTAGAGTGGCGAAAAGAGAGCGGCGCCGTCGCGACATGTAGTAATCGGCAACAGGACTGCTCTTACGAAGAGGCCTCTTAAGATGATTATGACCACCCTTAATCGTCCGTAAACTCAGCGAAAATGAGTCCTACTGGTAGTCGATAGCGGAATCGAAACGATTCCTGGGGAAACATTATCCGAACCCTGTGGGACCGATCAAATCGATCGTACCTCGAAATAGCATCCGCATTATTCAAAGCGCATTTTAGTAATTTTTTACGAAATCTTGTTTTTTTTTAAGATTCTATTATTATCTATGATTTAAGTAGAAAATATAAATTTAGAGTGTTTATTCTCTGGAAAAATAGGGAAAAGGGATTATCAGGATTTTTGTCTTACCTTGAAAAAAATTCAGGAATTCTCATGGAATTTTATTAAAATTCTGAATTTTTTTCGAAAATTGTGACTTTGATAATTTTACTCTTATTTTTTAGTATTTTTCATGTGTTTAAAACATCTTTTTAATATTTAAGTTTTTATTAAAATCTTATGTGATTTTTTATTGACAATCTTTTATCAAGGTCTTATGTAAGTTTCATAGAAAATTGTTAATTTTGAAATAATATTTAAAAAATAGCATTTTCTTTTGAAGATGTTTATAATAAATTATTTTACATTTTATATTTCATATTTTTGCATATATTTTTAGCGTTTAGATATAATGATGATATGTTCATTATATGCAATTATCCAAATTAATTTTACGATTAATAAATCAATATTAAATGCTAAACAATGCATTAGCAACTTTCTATCTTGCAATCGTATAAATAGAAAATATTAGAAAGCGCATACAATAAAGAAATTTATAAAAAGTTGCAACTACAAATGTTATTTTAGCTGGATTTTAAATTTGGAAAATAAAAAAATTTTTAGACAATTTTTGACAAGATTTGAGTAGACACTCTGATAAATAAAAAATAGATATTGACTCTTATTTTATACATTTCTTTGGAATCTTTGTTAATGTGTTAATTATGCAAGAATTATTATATAAAATTTCTACGAAAAGATAGACACTTTGCCTTTAGCTTTATTGGAATTATATAATGATCCCAATTTCTATCACTTTTTAAATAAATCATTTTCTCGTTTTTGTAATTTGAATCACTGCATTAAGAGACTTGTTATTTTCACGCTCGTGATTTTTTTTTACTATGACATTATTTTCTTGGAATTGCGTAGCAAATACAAACTGCAGGACGAGCCGAGGCCGGAATAGAGCCAGTGAAACGCGCAACAAGTCTATATTCGCGCGGTGAGTCTGGCGGCCAATCGATGGAATCAATTTGCATAATGTATACACGCGAACGTGTATGCTCGACAATGCCTCGATGTCGTAGAGTTGCCTTTATATGACGATAGTAGAATAACGTTGACGTTAGCGAACGTCAATAACATCGTGGAGACAAAACTCATGAAAACAAAATTGGAGTATATTTTGCGCGCAGCAAACTAAGAATTTTATTCATGCATATTACAATTAGAAACAATTTTTTTCTCGGCTAATAAAATTGCATTTAGTTTAATCTTCGTTCAGATCGAAAAATCAATAGTATTCTGGACGAGATCTCAGTAAGATCTTCCGATATTGTTCGAAATGATTTACGATTCTGCATAAAGCAATTCAATATTTTAAAATTTTAATAAACTCCTCTTTTTTAAGCAAGTTTACAGCTCCAAGTATTAAATAACGATTGTTAGATTAATGATGTTGCCGGATACGGTTCTGTTGTTTTAATGTGCCTTTAAACGCGAGGTTTAAGCTGTCAAGTTCAACGAAACAGTAATTAATAATCCACGATTACTGCATTATACGTAGTTATGTAACTATGAGCCATGAAACAATATATTGTCCAACAATGTATATTGTTACAATGATATATTGCATTTCGTATCAATAATATATTTTTTTGCAAACGCAATGTGCTTTACATCTATCAAAAAAATAAAGCTCAAGGATTAAAAATTAGATTTATATACAAAAAATATCCTCTTAGAATTTACCTTGAAAATCATGGTAATCGTGAGACAATTTGGTATATATTGGAAGATTTTATAAGTTTTTCTGATTGATATTTATTATAATAAATATTAATATGTACCTACATAGTAAATTTTACTATGTACATATATTAATATTATGTACATAGTAAAATTAATCGAATAAAATATTTTATTGTGGTAGATATTAATATTTTTATTGTGATAAATATTATAATCAATGAAATTCTTATAAAATTCTTTCAATATCATATTGTCCCACAATTACTATGATTTTCAAGATAAATTCTAAGAAAAGATTCTCTCTGTGTAATCATCCTAAAAAAGAATAAGTATTGAAATAAAATTTAAAGCAGGACATTTTTAAAATAAAATCAATATTTACATTCCTCTTTTATATAGCTTTTAGGTATATAAGAATATCTCTAAAAATCTAAGAGAAAAAAATATTACAGAAACGAATTGGCATATGTTATTCTATTAAATATTTATAAGTTTATATTTTTTCTTCAATATCGTATTCTATTACTTTATATATATACATATAATATATTACATATTTTAATTTTTAAGGACATTTTTAATATAAAAAAACAATATTTAGATTTCTTTTTTATATAGTTTCTAGGTATATAAGAATATCTCTAAAAATCTAAGAGAAAAAATATTACAGAAACTAATTGGCATATTATTCTATTAAATATTAAATAGTTATGAATTATTAAAGTTTATATTTTTTCTTTAACGCACGTTATATATATTTTAATATATATTACGTATTCTATTATTTTATATATATATATAACATCGTATTTTAATTATTTAATATATGTATATCCATATTACGTATTTTCCTTTTTAATGACATTTTTAAAATAAAAAATCAGTATTTAGATTCTTTTTTTATATAGCTTCTAGGTATATAAGAATATCTTTAAAAATCTAAGAGAAAACATATTACAGAAACTAATTGGCATGTATTAAATATTAAATAGTTATGAATTATTATAAGTTCACATTTGTTCTCCAACGCACATTATATATATTTTAATATACATACATTACGTCTTTCAATATATATTACCTATTTGAATATACATATAATACATTTTTTAATATGCATATATTATGTATTTTGTTCTAGGCACATTCGCCGAAAGGGTCTTCACCACCGAAGAGCGCTCTTCACCGTCAACCCGCCCGGCACACGGTCGGCGATGCAGTGAGGCAGCGGGAGTCTCGGCGATCGGGCGCAGCGTCCGAGCGCGTCCGAGCGCGGCCGAGCGCGGCCGAGGCTGGCCGAGCGCGAGCGAAGCGCCGCGTCGCGGCGGAGCCGCTCCGCAGTATAGTCAGTGCATTCTGAACCGGCGCGCGAGATACACGCTGACGCACCTCGGTCTCCGCGAGCGCGCCTCCACCGCGCATCGTCGCCGTTGTCGACGACCCCTTCGCGTCGTCGTCTCCCTCCAACGGAGTATCTCTTGAACAGGAAACGTCGCGTGTTCCGCGACACGTGTGAAATTGGTGCGAAAATCCGCGAAAAGAAAAAAGAAAGAAAGAAGGGAGTGCGCGCTTTTACCTCTCCCTCGGTGTATCTTGTTCGACTCGCTGGTTTTTGAAAATCCCGCGTGTCCGAAAGCCGCGAAAAAGGTTACGTCGAGGAAGTGAACGCTGCGAAACAGATCGAGGTATTGTGATTCGTCACTCCGACGTTTTCGTCTTTTTCTTCGTTTTATTTATCGTTATATCTCTCTCTGCTCTCCCGTTCTTCCTCTCTTTCCCTACATCTTTTTCGCCCTTTCTTCCTCTCTCTCTCGTTCGCACCGACGTCGTCTCGTGGGGTCAGTGCCTGCTCGATCGTAATCCTGGGCAGGAACATACCGGTGGAAGAGGAAGAAGGAACTCGAAAGCGAGAAAGAGCCTCGCAACAAAAATCCCGCGCGCGTCCCACCATTTTTCCGAAGGATCCTTTTGAAGTTAGCCGTTTTCGCGCCACGCGAGAATAATCTCGACGATGTGTGACGATGGCGACGATCAAGTGTCGGGATCGTGGGATCGATATATCGACGAGTTATTGATTATTACGCGATTCCCTCTCGGAGGCCTGCTTCGGTGCAGGAAACTCGCGCGTTTCTTATCGCGCCGTTCCTAGTATCACTCGCTCTTTTTTTGCCCGTCTCGTCCAATCCTTCTTTCTCGTCGCGTCATTCTCCATCTTCGTTCTTATTCTCTCTCTCTCTCTTTCTCGCATATTCGAACGCGTGCACTTGGTGCGCGCGCGGTCTCTCTCTCTCTCTCCCTCTTCGGGTTCTCTTCTCTTCTCGCTGTCACTATCTCTGTCTTCCTCGCGCCTGACTCCTTCGTGATTGCAGCTCGCCGTCTCGCTCGCTCGCGTTGCGTGTTTTCTCGCGAACGAATACGAAAAAAAGGAGAATCTCGGCGCGCGAGTGATACCGGGCCGCGCAAGAGAGAAAGACGCACGTCGCCTGTGAAAGAGCTCGAACTAGTCGCGAGTTTGTGTTTTTGTTTATGCGGGACGGACTCTTGCAACCGATAACTACGCACTGCACACCCTGCACTCTCCGCGCTGCATCGCTGCAACGGAGAGGAAGTCGGCGAGAAGTGGACGCGCCTCCGAAGGACGATTCGTCGCTGGAGGTGTTCGAGAAAAAAGTGAGTCGACTTTTTCATATCGCAGAGTTTTCAAATGTATTCCGATGGCGAGAAAGAGCGCGTTTTCTCGCACTGGAATTATAAACGCGGAAACTCGTGAAGGGATACATGTTTTTCCGAATTTTTTAATTTAAAATAGAATAGTCTTTCGTAAGAAAGAGGTTAATAAATAAATAAAGTAGGTATCGAGGAAAAGTAAGAATCTAATTGATAAATTGAAATATATTTTATGAGTTTGCTTGAATTAAACACGAAAACTCGTGAAGGGATACATGTTTTTCCGAATTTTTTAATTTAAAATAGGATAGTCTTTCGTAAGAAAGAGGTTAATAAATAAATAAAGTTGGTATCGAGGAAAAGTGAGAATCTAATTGATAAATGGAAATATATTTTATGAGTTTGCTTGAATTAAACGCGAAAACTCGTGAAGGGATACATATTTTTCCGAATTTTTTAATTTAAAATAGAATAGTCTTTCGTAAGAAAGAGGTTAATAAATAAATAAAGTAGGTATCGAGGAAAAGTAAGAATCTAATTGATAAATGGAAATATATTTTATGAGTTTGCTTGAATTAAACACGAAAACTCGTGAAGGGATACATGTTTTTCCGAATTTTTTAATTTAAAATAGGATAGTTTTTCGTAAGATAGAGATTAATAAATAAATAAAGTAGGTATCGAGGAAAAGTAAGAATCTAATTGATAAATTGAAATATATTTTATGAGTTTGCTTGAATTAAACGCGAAAACTCGTGAAGGGATACATGTTTTTCCGAATTTTTTAATTTAAAATAGAATAGTCTTTTGTAAGATAGAGATTAATAAATAAATAAAGTAGGTATATCGAGAAAAAATAAGAATCTAATTGATAAATTGAAAGCTATTTTATGAGTTTGCTTGCGCGTTTCGATTCGATTAATCGAGTGCGCTATTTTCAAGCAGGATTTAAACGAAATATATTCGCGTACATGGAGACAATTTTTCCTTAGAATTTACCCTGAAAATTGATAATTGTAGGACAATATGGGAGAATTTTATGAGTTTCTTTGATTAATATTTATACACAATATTTATTCATAATATAATTTATACACAATAAAAATACTAATATGTACTAGTAAATTTTACTATATAAATAATAAAATTAATCGAACATATTTTATATCTTTTATTATGGTAGATATTAATATCTTTATTGTGGTAAATATTAATCAGAGAAATTTTAAAAAATTCTTCCAATATATTGTTCCACGATTACCATGATTTTCAAGGTAAATTCTAAGAGAAAATTCTCTCTGTGCATAAAAGAAATAACAAACGACGACTTTGAACATGTATTTTTATATATCAGATTTCTGATTAAAAAAAATAAAATTATATCGGCAGAAAAAGGAGAAAGGTAAGAATCGAATTGATAAATTAAAATATATTTTATGAATTTTCTGGTAATTTGATTAATTGAATGTGTTTCAAGCAGAATGTAGACGAAATACATATATTCGCGCATAAAATAAATAACGACGACTTTGAATATTTTTATATATTCATGGTATTATATGTATATCCATGATAGAGTATTTTTATATATCCATAGATTTCTGATTAAAAAAATAAATAAAATTATATTGATATAAAAGAAGAGAAAGGTAAAAGAATCTAATTGATATATATTGAAATATATTTTATGAGTTTACTTATGATTCTCTCGATAAATTTAAATTTGCCATTTTCAAGCAGAATTTAGACGAAATACATATATTTGCGTATAAAATAACGAATGATGATTTTGAATATGTATTTTTATATACCCATAGATTTCTGATAAAAAAATAAATAATATTATACTTATAGAAAAAGGAGAAAGGTAAGGATCTACTTGATAAATTAAAATACATTTTATGAATTTGCTTGTAATTCGATTAATTGAATGCATTTCAAGGAGAATTTAGAGGAAATATATGTTTGCGTATAAAATAAATAACGAGCGATAAATGAATATGTATTTTTCTGCGGCGAAATGCATATATCAGCATATATGAATCATACAAAATATAATATGCGGAAAAAAATGATTATTGTTATTCGCCAATGCATTTTGCCTAACACTCGCTTCAGGCGAGTTGATTCATTGTCGCGATCAGTATTGTCGACTTGAACATACAACATTGTCGCGTACGTTTGTCACGCAAATGTTGAGAACGTAGAATGACTTTGCCACTATTGTTACTATTACATTGAATGTAAGGCATTATGTTCTAAGTTGCATTCACAACTCGTACACTCCTTCATTTTAGCAATAAAATAGGTGAGCTTTTTTCCTGACCTTTTCCACATTTTTTGTTGTTAATTAGAGAATTTGCACATTTGTGTTTTATTGAAACTTTCGAATTTTCGAAAAAAGCAAGTCTAATTATAAGATTTACCAATTCATCGATCTACGATAATATTCTAAAGTAGGATAAAATTTGAATTTTATCGTTCTAATATATGTATATAAATATATCTTTTTTAGATTTTTATTATTATATATATAGTATATTTATATATTTACTATATACATATTTTTTTTATTACTATATACAATATATAGACTGTGTGTGATTTTTGTATGTAATTTGTCAGGAGAATTGTGATTTATTTATTGTTAGTTTTTTTATTTTTTGGGGGTAAATATTAACACGAAAATTTTCTGTTTAGAAACTCTGCAACAATATTTTAAATCGTGTGTTCCTTTTTCATATAAAAGCGTACGTTTATGCAGAGTTAACGTGCGTTAAAACAAGCACGTGCGTTTACGCTTGTTGCATAAGAAAACTTAGCAGGTTGCTAAAAGGCACGCGTTGCGCGGTCGTTTCTTGATTATGAATGAACTTACGTATATATCGAGAGTGGATTTAATTACGAGCACATTAGATAGAATTTATCGCGTTGCTGGCATTTTGCCGCAGCGTTTACGCGAAACGAGCGATTCGCTTTGTAAAGTGAACAAGCGGGGTGAATGGAGGCGCATTAATAAATGAGTAAAACGGCTATTAAGGGCACACACAGTGTGTGGACCGTGCATTCATAAAATAATGGCTGTGAATAAATTAATAGATACATTTCCCCCTCTTTTTATTATTCCGCAATTATCTCTAAACATTGATGAAACTGTTCGAATGAATTTTTTTACGTTTACAAAGACTTGAAAATACAAACTTTTAATTTTCTTGATGCACTTCGATTTTATATACGAGTTTGTTTTGTTAACTATACAAGTATCTAATCCATTGTTTGCATGCATATAAAAAGCATCTTTAATACATTGAGAAAAAAAGCTGTTAACTTGATTAAATTGTTCAACTAATTAGAATTTTGTTAATTGAACATATGTAAGTATTTAAATCAAAACACGTTATGTTATGGATTTCATATGTTGTATTTAATTTAAATGTTTCTATATGTAACATTCAAATAACAAAATAGTAATTAGTTGAACGATTTAATCAAGTTAACAACTTTTTTTCTCAGTGTAAAATGTAATTTCATATATCTTAAGATTTTATGTATTTATCTAGTAAAAAACTATATAAGTTTTCTTCCCATTTTTAAGGCCGATTGTTCCCACTTCTTAGTAAATTTTATCCGATAGATAGCATATCTTCGTTTCTTTTCAGATAAGTGTAAAAAAAAAAAAAAATACGAATATATGCTATCTGTAAAATTTATAAAGAAGTTGGAATAACAACTGGCCTTTTAGATTAATTAAACCTTCAATTATTTCTCATGAGATTTATTTTATTAAATAAATCTTAAAAAGATTTACTACATATTTAACAAAATTTCTTTTTAAAAGAGTAAAATCGATTTTAAGTTAATTGAATGCTTACCTTGCATCTTATTTATGAAATTTTATTTTCAAGTAACATCGTATAATTAAAGTGGTTAAACTTTTCGTAGAGGCAATATTGAATCGGAAAAATTTGTTTCTCGTAAGATTTAATTTACTGAATAAATTAAATATTTCAAACAAAAAGCTTGACTATATATTCAACCCAATTTTAAAGAGGGCAAAATGGATTTCAAGTAAACGATAAATTTTTGCATCTTATTCGTCGACTCTTGGATATTCGTCAGCAGTTAAATAACGTCGTAATTAGAGTAGCGATTAAACTTTTTGTAGAGGCAATATTGAATTGAAAAATTTCTGAGAGGAGAATGCACACACGCGTGCTCGTTGATTCTCTTTTTCCGGGACGCTTCGTGTATAAGTAATCGTTATTCAACGGTGGACTCTCGACGTAATGGCGTAGGGCATGATAAATTAGACGGCTGTAATGCAAATTGCACCAGGCGGTTTTCTATGAATGAAAGCGCACGTACACTGCTCGTTGAACTTTAATTTACTCGCGAGCGAATTTACTCGCGAAAGATAAGGCGGAGGAAAAGAGTGCATTATGACGATTGCATCTATAGCGAGAGAGAGAGGGAAAGAGGAGGTCACAATATTTTTCCTGCGTTACGTAGATGGATTGTCCGGCGTTTATCAACCGACCTTTGTTATTGCAAAAGTCGACACAGTGCGCTCATAGTACAATATATGCGCAGAGAAAATTTGCTCTTAGAATTTATCCTGAAAATCGTGGTAATCGTGGGACAATATGGTATTGAAAGAATTTTATGAGTTTTTTCTGATTAATATTTTTTTTACCACAATAAAAAATATTAATAATCTACCCCAATCAGAATTTTATTCCATTTATTCTTAATTTACTCTGAAAATCATGATAATTAATCGTGGGACAGTATGGTATTGAAAGAATTTTATAAGAGTTTCTCTGATTAATATTCTTTTTATCAGAATAAAAAATATTAATAATCTACCCCAATCAGAATTTTATTCCATTTATTTTTAATTTAGTCTGAAAATCATGGTAATCGTGGGACAATATAATATTGAAATAATTTTATGAGTTTTTTTGATTAATATTTACCATAATAAAAATATTAATATCTCTACC